TTTTTTGTGAAGCGTTTGACTGTCGTGTTTCTTTATTAATTCTTCGATCTCTTGGCAGTTTTCTATCATCCAATTTTCTTTTGCGGTAGCTATTTCTTTCTTGATTTGACGATGTATCTCCCTATATTTTTCATTATTTTTATTTTTGTAGGCTCTTCGAGTATCCATCATTCCCAGAATTTTTTGTGTCATCCAGGGTTTAGATTTTCTTTTGTTATTAGTGTCTTTTATATATTTCTCGGCGCTAGTAAAAGCATTCTTGACTTCAGTCCATAAGTCTTCTGTAGTTGGTGATAACTCTCTTTGGAGTCTTTCACATTCCTCGTTGAGTTTAGTCTTTACCATACTTTGTATATTTTCTTGTTTAAGTAAATTGATGTCGGTTTTTCTTTTGACAGTCTTTTTTAGCATTTTGAACTTTATTTTTAATTTAGCCACTAGTAGGTTGTGATCTGATGGAACATCTGCGCCTGGGTATGTTCTTGTATCCGTTACTGCATTTTTATATCGCTGGTTTATAATAATGTAGGTAATCGATTTGATTTCGGACACATTTTTACTTACATAATTAAAATTAAAGATTCAACTTTAGATGTGTTTTTTATTGTGTTAAATAATCCGTAACTAATTTCTTTCAATAGACAAACGTGTGTCGTTAAGTATTTTATACTGTTATTTCTTAGAATATTGTAAAGTAATTAGGATTTAGAAATCCTTGTAAGGTGGTATTATTCACATAAGGGTGGTTTTAGCCGATATATATGCATGTATTGTATACTTAATCCATATCATTATCACTATCCTCGGATTTGCTGTCACTCTCAAGACCATCGTCTGATTCGTTTTCTTAATTATTTGATCAATTAAGATAAGTCAATAAGATCAATAATGTAATAATTATTTGATCAATTGCTGCATCTATGGCTGATTCCAAGTAACAGAACTCTTTTTCAAAATTCAGGGGTAGGTTGCAGCGATTCTGCCAATCTTGTGAGGAAAAATTGCTGAAAAAAATTCATTACACCACCTTTCAACATCTGACAATAAAAATGTGGTGTTTTTATTTGCGATATATTGTTTTAGAGAACCCAAACAAGTTTAATCGGATTAAGATCCAGATGATACGGTGGCAACTTCAAAGTATTGTGTCCATGATGTTAAAGGATTTTGTCAACTTCGTACGTTTTAAACCTCGGTTTCTGCATTTTTATAATATACAAATCGACCTTTAACATATAATCCTAATAGAGAACATTTTTACTTCGTAACTAATATTTCATTTCGTTTTTCAAGACGCAGATATAGGAGCAGAAATGGCACGTGACTTAAAATCGTGGCTCAAGTCGAAAGTTTTGTGCTTATGGAAACGCTATTGACACCAATCTCATTCTAAATTTCTATCTATCAAAAACCACATAATACCTTGATGCCCAAGAACTGACAAGACTAACAACCGTATTCTACAAACAGTGCTAACCAAACTACGCCTAGAATACTGAAGACTAACACATTCCTACTTTACAAACAGTGACCCTCCCCGCTGCGAACTGTGGAACACATCTTTAAGCATCAAGCATATGTTAAGAGACTGCCAACGTTATGATTAATGGTCTCGTTATCACCTAGCCAACAATTTATCCAAAATGCTAGGTGATACGTGTCCGATAGAGAATCTAAAATACCTACCTATCTTAAATCTATACACACCTATGGTTAATGCGACATTCTTCTCTAAATAAAGAAAGAAATATGACAAAATATCAAACTAACAATATTTACATCTCATTATATTGGATCGTCGATGGGTGTGTGTGCTTGATTTAAGGGTTTAGGCAACTTTTTTTCCTCCTCAAGTCGTTTTTACGTTAAGGGCATAGGCACTGATGCTTGGATTTTCTACCACTATTGACAGCTGTTCTTCGATTCTGCGAAGGTGGTAGGTGTTGGGGGAAATGGAGATGTAAAATAGGCTCTTTTCAGATATTTCTTTTCTTTTTTAACTGACTTTACTGTTTATTTTTGTAAAACATGTTGGGGCAGCTGTCATTGTTACCTTCCTGACATATAAGTATGCAATGGGATCTAGACACCATAGAAAACCGATTCCTCCCTGTTCAGGTGCAAAGATAGAACTGTTTAACCAATAAAACGGTAAGAGTAAATTTTCCTCCAGAATATCAATGTATTCGAAATGTAGTTTGTCGCTGACATAGGTCAGCAATTAGGTAAGGTGGGATAAAGTTGAGCAAGAGTTTAGAAGATGTAACTCCTGCTTAAACAGGAAAGCCTCTTATGTAGAGTTGGGATGGAAATAGTTGTTTGGATATCTCATGCATCTAGTGCTGATATATAGGTTGGAAAGGTGCAGTATTTTTAAGAGGGATTCAAATTACATTCAAAGGAAAGATCTAAAAATATTTGTTGGAATTTGTGAAAATACCATCTGGAAATGGCAAGGATTCCTTGATAAAAATACGTAATCTAAGATGGACCTGCCAAAACCGAAAACCTTTATGCCAGACACACCCTATTATTGACGTCTGTAGGAGTAAGGGCTGATCCACACTGGAAGGGATGGTGTATACGAGAGGACTTTAGAATTGACCATCACTAATAATATTGATGGGCGAGGATCGTTCTTTTTCTTTCAACAGCCCTTGATTGTCCACTCCTGAACTTAAGCCTTTCTTTGGCGTACACCTCTCTTATATAACGTAGGTATCCACTGTAGGATGTGATTAGTGCACCTAGTATCATCTTGTCTGGCAACATGTCTTATCCAAGACCACTTTAATGAAGCAACGCGTTGTATTACGTCCTCTAATTTTGTTCTACGTATTTATTCATTGCGGACGTTATCTTTAAGTTATTCCCAGCAGAAGTCCACAGTTCAACTGAATCAAAGGCCATGTAATAATCAACCCAGGCCAAGTGTAGAGAGATGTGTGAGGATAAAAACGAAAATTGTATAAAATAAATTATTTATTTATAAAAACTTCCCAATTTGGGAAAATAATATATCTTAACAATTCTATAGTTAAAAATTACAATGGTTACAAGGTAATTAGGAAACAATATTGAGTAAATATGCTTTCCAAAATCAGTTATTTTTCAATTGTAAGTAGATTTTTGTTAAGCAGAGCAGTATTATTATAGGAATACAAAATTATTTCTTAAATTTATTTGGGAAGTAACAATAATATTGGAGAACAGTAAAGGCCAAAACTTCCGTAAAATATCTCATTTCTAACGTTGGTCAACAGAAAATGTATACTTGAAGACAAACCAGGAATCGTTTATAATGCTGTAACTTCTTTATATATATATATATATATATATATATATATATATATATTATATATATATATATATATTATTTATTCCAGTTCAGCCTCTAATACCCAATAGCCATTAGGGTTCAGTTTTCAGTTTGCCTTTAATATTTTCTTTTTTTAATAGCCTCGTTCAATTTGTAGTAATTTTGACAAAATTGATCAACTATGAACGTAACATTATATATATATATATATATTATATATATATTATATATATATATATATATATATATATATATATATATATATATATATATATATATATATATATATATATATATACCATATATACCAATTTAACCCTTAATCGGAAATTTCAACTTATGGCACACTAGAAAACGGGCCGTTTTGAGATCGCGCTTAGTAAGATCGTTGAATAATTGAAGGAGAAAATAACTAAAAATTTCTTTATCACACATATTCTTCCTAAAACAATGTTCTGTACTTCGTTTTATAGAGGGCGGCATATTACCTACCAGACAGCATGAATACTTCCCTTTTCTGTCTAAAAGTCTTGTCTTTGTTTACCCTTCGTCAAGACATATTTTGGTCTTCATTAAGAATTTATCCACTAGTGCCAGAACCGAAGACAGACTCAGAGAGAGAGAGAGAGAGAGAGGAGAGAGATGAGAGAGAGAGAGAGAGAACTCGGGAACTTTAAATTAACAGAGTGGTATTGGTATATAGCGCCGTTGAATACCATAAAATGCCCTCTGTTAAATGCACAAGGATCCTGCCTTTCTCTAAATATATGTTCGATTTTGGTATTACCTCATAAGTTCTCAATAAAGACAAAACATTTCTTCTATGACTGTTTTTCAATATACCTAGTCTTTTTGCCTACATTCTCGCTTTCCCGTAGATATTATGTGGCAAATTTGTTAGCTGTTTTCTCTCTATAGTTATAAAGATTGGCATGACTTGAGCCAGCATTTGGCAATCTGATTTGTTCTTAGAGCTAGCTTATAATTGTAGTCTCACGACACCGTTGTAGAGGTAGCAATTTGTAAGATCTATGATTTTGGCATTCTACATTACATTAACAAGATATCATAATTGTGTCGGTTTGAGACTGCGCGAGGGAGCTCTAAACTCAGTAGGGCTCCACGCACGATAAACTGGGCAAGGAAGTGCTCACTAACACAGCATGTCCTCACAAATGGATAATAGAGAACGCTGTATGGGTATATAGATAAGACAATAATAGAGGTGTGAATAAAGCATAATCAAAGGGGATGCACACTTCAGTTGTATATATGCGGTTCACCAAGAGTTCGCAAGCTTTGGGAGATTATAGCCTTGATCCAATACAGACATACTGCCATGGCTGACATCATATCGTCAAATTTCATGGAAATAAAATGAGCACAAAGACAAATCCAGAAGAGAACCAAGAAATGAGTGACTCTTCTAAATCAACAAATAAAAATGTCTCTGCCACACATACGTCTCAATGACTCCAATCAGGCTGTCAACTGGCGGCAGCATGGTGTAAAAGAGTAGGCTTATATAAAGGAAAAAAATACGATACTGTCCGGATTTGTCTGGAACAAACTTAGCCTCATAGACATATTCATTAAAAACTATTTTCGATATAAATGGTTAATGGAGATTTCCGATTAAGAGTTAATCTTAAAATGTTAAAATAAGGATATGTAAGTATTTCGGTTTTAACAATTTTCTTGCATTTAATAATAAAAATAGCTACACCTTTGAAGACATCAAAATACAATGAACAGTCTTAGGTCACAAGACTTTTTGCACCAAAACAATAACGGTATAAAGTACTGGACATATATTTTTGGAAAAAATATAGCTTTAATCTTATTACATATAATCTAATCTAATATATTCAACTATATTCTTGGAAGTCTTAAGTTTGTACTACATTTTTCAACTGTATTAAACAACAGAATATAAAAATGAATAAGTAATATGCTGCCAAAATAATTTATGATGTATTATTAACAACAAAAACCAGTTGTTTGTTTTTAACCAGCAACTTGTTTAGTTCCTTTGTTGTAATTAATCAGCTGCCAAAATTAGACTTTCAGAAACTTCAGAAAATAAATGGTTCCCAAAATATACATACTGTACCTTATGTAGTTGGTGTTTGTATACGAGATTTGTTAAAAATGAGTGACTTTGTAATTTTTCTTTCTCACTTGAGCAACCCAAATTTTAAAATCTTGAATCACTTCTGAAATGCACGTTTTGGTATGACCTTGATCTCTTCTTAAGTTACATATTCTATTGAAGGTTGGAAACCATCATGGCTATGCAGGCCCTGTTGGTGCCAGTAGCGCACCTAGAATTTTTCTCTGGGAGGGGGGATTTGGTTGGGCACAGAAATTCTTTTATGCTACTTCCACTATTTAAGTCCTTAAAATTTGTGAATAACAGTGTCGGAATAGGGTCCTGGGGGGTTTTAACCCTCCAAAACCACACTGGTTGGTGCTCTAAATAGTTATGCACTTACTGGTTTCAAACTAATCCCTCAGTTTCTTGAGCCAGGATATTCTTCGTCTTCCCACATTCCTCTTTCCACGAATTTTGCTTTGCATAATAATTTTTGCCCTTCTAGAAAAGCGGTTAATTGCTGTAATTTCTCCCCTTTCATGGGTTTTTAAGTTATTTCAGTAGGAGAAGACCATTCCCAAAACATCCGACAAAATTACATTTACCGACATTCTCAGCAACTCAATAGGTTCGCCAGATTCCACAGTCAACATTTTAATTCCGCCTGTAATATAGTACCTCACAATCATGCAAAATATGTTTGACTGTTTCAGGTTCTCTACTACAGTGTTTTCAAACAGTTTCATTGTATGCAGGTGTCCACTAAAGAAGCCTGTTGCTTAAATTCCGCTTAGCTTAACTTTAGTAGCTCATGTTCACCCAATAAATATTTTGCGATATACTTCAACTGGTATAGTTTCCCAGTGCGAGTTATGTTGTGTCCGAATCCAGACTTTTTTGATTGCAGACGTTGCTTTTTAGCACTCCTTTAAGGTCGGCTATGGACTCTACCTGGATTACAGTTATAAAAAATTCCATAATTAATCCAGATTCTTTGATTCATTATTTTCGATCGACAACCACACCAAAACACGTCTAACCGGTATATATGTCATAAACAAACACAACAAAATAAAAAAAAATCGAAAATAAAATAAACGCAACCTGCGAAATTTAAACAGTCACTTTTTTTAACGAACCTCGCATATTCTCATGACACCTATGACCACCTATCACTTTCAGCCTCATTATTAAAAACATTTTTATCCTCGTGACTACTTCTTTTCAGCGTTGTAGGTATTTCATCAAAATCTGGAGGGAAAAACTTTTCACCTTTTACTCCAGTTCCACTAGAGCTGTGATGCAAGGAGAAGCTGCGCTTTTTAGGCAGTTTTTTCTTCGTAGGGACTAGAATATACGAATTTTGTTGAGCTGAAATATAATGAGGCGAACTAGGTATGATAAGTTTTTTCTTTGCGATGTGATTGTAGATGAGATATGCAAGGTATGGTAAGAGACCTACTATGACACCTACAAAGAAAAACGAAAGTCCTACAGAGAAACAAGACTCCTGTTCCAGCAAGGTATTTTGTATGGATGATATTTCTGTAAAAGAAAAAATATATGATTTATACTTTCTGCTAACTATTAAACTTTTATATCAAACTACAAACTGGTAATGTTATAACTGTTAGTAACAAGAACACTGGTGCAGTCAACACAATGTGTGAAGGATAATCAAGTTAGTCACAAAAACACTAGTTAGGCAGTTTTGCAAGAATTTACACATGTCTTTGCCATCTACTTCTAAACTCACTTTTCTATCTTTATATTAACCTTTCCAAGTTTACTTCTCCCCTCATTATAGAGATTTATGGTTCGACTAAATGCAATTTCCTTCCATATACTTCCAAGATTTCTTTCATAACCTTGCCTTTCTATTTCTAGAATTCTTTATAGTTTCAATAATATAAAAATCGTTGCTCTTTCAAAGTCAATAAACGATGATTCATTATATCTGCTGTAAATATCACTTCACTAACTTCAATCAAGAACTGTGTTTCCTTAGGTTGGTGTAGAATTTTCCACACACTTAAATAAAAAAATGTTGCTAAAGCCTTATTTAAAAATATAAAAAAAAACCGTATGTGTACTAGTAGATTAAATACATTTAGAGTTACTGTAAAAAGCCTGTAAAATTTACCATTTGATAGTTCTCCAAAACAAATTCTAGTTTCAAAGTCTTTTCCTTGACATTCCAAGGGGCCTGGATTTTCGTGAAAACATTTTCTTTTCCTATGTTGTTCATTGTTAATATCACAAAGCGACCATTCCGTCCAATTTCCCCATCCCAAAATGGCTGAAAAATAGTATTAAAGTTACTTCCATACTGTTTTCTTATATACTAATAAATAGCTGATAAAAGATAAAGAAATTATTCAATTAGGAGTCACAAGAAAACTTGAAAAGTCATCAATACATAGTGTGAAAGATAATAAAGTTAGTTTTAACGGATAGTGTCAAGATCTTAAGAAATTAGGGCAATTCAGAAGAGTAAAGCAGAAGAAGCGATACTGACAATGTGAAACAACAATTCTTTTATGTTTATTTTAATTTTGTGATATAATGTGTAATGTTATAATGTCAATAAAGCAAACAGATTCATACAGTCCACTCTACTGAAGCAAAATCAGGCAGTTTTGCAAGAATTTGTCATACATTGTTTTTATCATCTACAAATAAACGAGAAACTGTGCCAGGGTACTCAGATGACAATATAAAACTTGACATATAGAATATGCAAATAAACATAATTAAATAATAATTACCTTCACATGGTTGATCTTCGCACGGTTGTTCTTCTCTCGCTACATCATTGCAAGTTTTTCCTAGACATGATCTGGTACGTATCTTAACTCCCCATCCACAAGAAACGTTGCAGGGAGACCATTCGGACCAACAACCCCACGCCTCTTCACAGCTGTGAGTATTGCAGTCTTTCGTTTGTGTTGATTCGCCTACACAATTTCTCGTCTTCTTGCAGGTTCTGACACGTTTTTGCGTACCTCCCCCACAACTTACCGAACAATCCGACCAATTGGACCACTGATTCCAACTACTTTCGTAATCGTCGTTGGAACATTGTGAATTTGAACAATACTTTTCTTCTTCTTTAACTGATATTTTTATCTGAATTGGCGATTTAACGGGTGCTCTACAAATAATTTTGTACCGTTTCTTGTGATAAGACGTGCCGTTAGTATTAATCCAATCCGTGGAGTAGAACTTTTTAATTTCATTACAAGGAACGTCATTACATCTTTCATATTCAATATCATTACCTTTACAGTGCTGTCCTCCATTATGAGGAGTAGGATTATCACATTTTCGTTGTCTCAACTGGTAACCGCCAGCGCAAGAAGCTGTACAAGACGTCCAGGGAGACCAAGGACCCCAACCACCATCAACGGGTTGAGAAGGACATGGTGCATATTCTGTACAAAGTGCTTCACTTCTATCCTGTCCCACACAAACTCTTCCTCCGAAAGCTGGTGCAGGATTAGTACAGGTTCGAGTTCTACTTTTAACTGCGGTACCACAAGTTGCCGAACACGCTGACCATGCTGACCAATCAGACCATCCTCCGTGAACAGTACAATTTGTTACAGATATCGATGGACCTACACAGGTTTTTCCCTTATTTGCGGGAACAGGATTATTGCACTGACGAGTTTGGCATAAGCAATGATCAGAGGAATTATAGTCTGATAAACTTTTATGAAAACAGGGAGCCCAATTCGACCACGCACTCCAACCCCCATTTACTGGAGTATTTAAAACTGGACAAGAAGTTATCTCCGGTTTTCCAAACTGGCTACGAAAACTATCTTCAGGAACTAAGGCACAAGTTTCTTCCATTTCATTCCATCCACAATAAGGGTCCATAGCATTTTTACAGCCTTCCAAAGAAGAGTGTCGTCTACAATGACCCACAGAAATTTGTGATAAACCTAAAGGACTTGTTATATACACTGAATTGGTCTTTTTTAGGAATTGCATGCTAGTTATAGGAATGTTTGCATCTGGAACAGCTTGCCAAATTTCAACGACACATGCTGTTTTATGATGTGGTAATAAACTGAGCTTTTTAATGTAACCCTGTTGAGTTGCTAAATAAATTACATGTACAGTAACCAACTTTGTTTCTACTACATCTACTGTTATGTGAGTAAAACGTTCTCCTGTTGTTGAATATAAAGGATCAAAGGCTGTAGCCTGAACAGCTGAATCCATTAGTTGATATTTAGATATATCTAATAAATTTACATTTTTCTGAGAGGACTCACAGTTAAAATGATTTCTATAAAGATTCATGTGTTTGTTCCAGCCACTGTCTATATCCTGCTGATATTTAAATGGTCCCTCAAATGCTTTATTTATTGCCGTGATATTGAACGCGCACACTGCTGATCCAGCTATACTATTCGAAGAGGTACTAAAACTAGCATAGACAACATTCTCACTGGGTACATAAAACATACCCTGGATTTCATGGAAGTAAAATGGGTAATCACCGCTTATAGAGCAGTTTAATCTAGCTTTGATGTAAGTAGTCCAATTATCTTTAAACATTTGGCCACCGCCATTATCGTTTTTACATATCCTCGCTATTCTTGAATAGATAACTTTGCCACAGTTCATATATTCCACTGCAGATTCTCGAAATAAAAAATAAACAAACCGATCACTTTCAAAAGAACCCACAAACTGTGGCTCATTGAGCCAGAAATTATTATAAGGTTTAGTTCTGAGTACCACGGTGTTTTCGGAACTTTTTGATATTAGAGACTGAGAACCAAAAGCGTCTGCTGGTCCTCCAAAGTAGTAGTATCCATTTTCTGATAAAAGAGCTGTAATATTTGCATTTGGATTAAATGGACTCTGCGCTACTCCATCCACTATTTTGATAACATTAGTTATGTTGTCGATCTAAAAAGAATAAAAACATTGATTAGAACATAATTTGTTAACCCTTAATCCGAAGTATGTGTGTGTCTTGAACACGTATAAATTTTATTATTGCTCTCACCATTATAAATTGAAATAAATGCCCTCTCAAACACTAATGTCAAAGGAAATACTATTATAAACTTACCTCCCTCCAAGAACACTGAGGTGAAAATGAATTGGTGCCACAAATTAGTAATTCTCTATCGTTGCTCAGAATTATATTTATAAAATTGTGACAGTTTTCGTCACTCTGTCCCTTTTCTATACAAGAATGCCGCTTTTGTTCTGACGATTCCCAATTTACATACTCCAAAAGACTTAGTTGTGTTAATGACAATCTGAAAAACCCATCCCTGAAAATAAGCATTACACCAGTTAGCTGTCAAATGGTGATGTGAAATACAAGTTCACAACTTCAATAATCACTTGTGATCACTATTCTTTTTAAATATTTCACAAGTTGATAAGATGATGACAGATTGCATGCAAAACTTACCTTGCTCCTAAAAACATTTGATTTCTGGATACATCGAACAACATTTGTGAAAATGATGAGTTATCTTCGGCTTGAAAAGTTGTAACAGATGATTGGAGATCTATAACAAACAGTAAAACACAAGGAATTTGCTTTTCTGTCCTTATTAATATATAATAATAATAATAAACTAAAAATAAGCAGAGGAAATAAAACAGTTAGAGGAAAGGTTCAGCCCGGAGGATTCGATACGCAAAATGGCCGAAACAGCATGGCCATGGGTGAAACTTATATGTATAAATATCTCGAAGTAAAGCAAGCGCCGAAATTTGATCATAAGCAAATTACAACTGGAATCACCTAGAAGTCAGGGTAAAACAACTGCTTCGTTCACATCTTAACAGTAAAAATTTGTTTAAGGCACAGAACCCACATGTTTCACGCTTAGCTATTTCTTTGGTTTTGTTGACTTGTAAGTGGGCTAAAACGGATATAGAAAATATTCAGCGAAAAGTACGAACACACCTCACGAAAAAACATCATTATCATCTTCGCAGTGTAGTTAAAAGAACGACATTACCACGGTATTTCGGAGGAAGAGGACTTAAGGATATAAGTGACCAGTTAGAAAAATATATTGCTAATTTACGAATTTATTTTCAGATGTGCAGGCTGAAACATCTACTTCACATCGCTCAATTTGCGCAGTATATGACACAACACCGTTTAAATTAGGGAGGCCAGAATTGGGCATAAACCACCTTTCTACGGAGGAAAAAATGCGTATCTGGATGGGTAAACCCCTACATGGGCGACATCTCAATGAAATCAGCCAAGATTATGTCGACAATAGGGCATCAAACTATTGTTTGACATCAGGAAAGATGTTCCCTGAAACAGAATGTTCCTTATTCGCCATTCAGGATCAGGTTATTCCAACCAAAAATTACCTGAAATATATTGTCAAAGACACTCATGTCCAAAACGAAAAATGCCCATATGGATATCAAGCCCAGGAAACCATTCAATATCTTACCGGGAGCTGTCAAGCATTTGCTGCAACTGAATATAAGGAATGGCATGACTCAGTAAGAAAGATTCTTCGTTAAAAGATAGCTATCAATTGCCACTTCTCCAAATCAACCGTCTCCCATAATATCAATATGTTCCTGAGAGTAGTAGGCTTGAGAATGACAGCTACAAGCTATATTGAGACAGCATTGTGCTCGCAGACCAAACAATAGCACATAATAGACCAGATCTCATACTAGCTAATAAACTAACGAGATAAACGACACTAATTGACGTGAAGATACCTGATAAAAATAATCTGCGTGTGAAATAGAACAAAAATATCGCCAAATACAGAGATCTGAAAATTCAAATACGAAGACAATGGAAAATGGAAAGTACCTATTATTCTCTACTACTACTGGAGTCAGTCCGAAGAGCCTCCTATAAAACATAAAAAAGTTGGGACTGAATGAACATCTCTACAAGACCATGCGGAAAGCTGTACTGTTCTCGACGTCCAGATGTTTACGAATTTTTTTGGGAGATACTGGCTCCATAACACGGAAAGAATCCCACCTGAGCTCAATCCTTTTGATACCGTAGTTATCTGGAATGAGTGAAAATCTCAAGAAAAGACAATGCAAAAAAGCGGAACTACTACCAGATGCGAAAGAAAACTTTTAAGAGGAATTCCAGCATACTTACCAAGCTGCCTAAGGCTTCCTAGCACACGAAAATGCCCTTAGAAATTAAACAGTGAATTTTCCCCTTCTAGAGAGTGAGAGCCGTATGGCTTAAATCTGGATAATAAAAATAACAACATTAATCAGCTAGGTTTTCGTGTTCCCTGATTTCCATCATTTTGATACCGTAGATATCTCGGATGAAAGAATTTTCCCCCTAAGGGGAATGGCAGCAGTATGACTAAAATCTAGATTACAAATAGACTGTCGAACTATTGGTTGACATCTGGAAACCTGTTTGACTAAAAGAAGTGTTTCCCTTTTGCCATTTAGGATTAGGTTACCACAACCAAAAATTAGTTAAAATATATCCAAGATGTAAACAAACGCCGATATGAACATTAACTTCAACAAACAATCCAAGTTCTTACTTACTCAAATGTCCATGACAAAGAATGTCAGTGAAGAAGACTCAGTGGAAAAGATTCTTCATTAAGAGATAGCTAACAAACTGGATCTTCTCCAAACTAACCATCCTCTTATTATTGATATTATTGACAGTATGTTTGAGAATGGCAACTACAAGCTATACTGAGACCTTTTTGTATTTACAGACCACACAGTTGTACATAATGGACTAGATCTCATACTAGTTAATAAACTAACTAAACAATCAACTCTTATTGATGTGGCGATACCTAACAACAATAGTCTGCGTGTTAAATACAACGAGTAAATCGCTAAGTATAGAAATCTTGAGGGATAAATACTGAGTCTATAGAGAATGAAAAGTACGAACCTTCTAGAGAACATTTAAGAGCTGAATCTTAGTGATAATCTATATAAGACCATGTAAAAAACGGTACTATTCGCGACGTTCCGGTGCGTACAAAAAATTGTATAAAACACTCGAATTGGTGCTTTAAGTGTCTGATGGTGAAACATTTTATCACATTCTATTTTGTTAGGTTATTTTAAGGAAACTTAGAAGGACCAATGGGAAACTTTTAGATAAGTATGCAGTTAGTTTCAAGATTTGCATATTAAAATTGTAATTTAGTCACTTATGACAATATCCTATAAACATAACAAACTTACCTCTATATGAAATGTATTTGAAATCATGTTGATCAGATAGGGCGGTGGATGAATGTAATACCAAAATCCACACACATAGATAAAGTAGAAATGTGATTTCATAAGATACCATTCTTGCATTTTCTAAAAAAAAATGATAGATATACAGACCGGCAAAAAACGGCCAACATACTTCAAAAAAGTTTATATGTTCAATTATAACATAGGCTGAAGAACAGACAATAACATGGACTCATCTAAATAATTTTTAAATATTTCAGCAGATTCAGATGATGAAAAACCTGATAAACGCACAAAATTTCTTTTATTTACAGATTCATAATATTTTCATTATACCATCGGAAACTAAGTCCATGTTCTCCAAAGAATCATGTAATGTAAGGCAGTCTTTTGTTTGACATGTTTGATAGTTTCTTTTAACAGCTCATTAAGCATACGGCTTTCTCCCTCATTGTCAATCTTTCTTTATCCATCCACTCCTGAGTGTAAGTTTTTTTCTAATTATTTCTGTCTATCCCTGTCCTGCGCCACTTTCATCCGCTGTTCGTTCAGCAATGCCATAAAGTTCTCCGTGTTCACCCTTTCTTATCGTATCTAGCTAGTTTACCAAGCTTTCGCAAATCTTTATTTGCATCATCAGGGTCACTAATTAATGTTAGTTGTCATGGTGTTTAGAAAATGGATAGATAGATAGATAGATAGATCTTTATTTAAATAGAAACCCTAATATACATACAATATAAAGAACGTACACTATAAATTTTTGATATATTGTTTAAGTAACAGTTTGAAATTATTGAGACTAGTACATTTTTTTACAGATGTTGGTAACTGATTAAATTTAAAGAAGATTTTAAAAAAGATCTAATTCATCGTACTTTTAGACATATTTCTAGGTACATATATGTCATCTAAACCTCGGGTATTATAAGAATGAATACTTTTGTTGAAAGAAATTAATTCTTGAAAATTTTCAGGTGATAAGCCATTTACTATTTTGAAGACCAAAATCATGGTGAAATAAAACAGTCTATTTTCAACAGGGAACCAATTTAGAGTATTTAACATCGTCCTTATTGGGGTACAACGATTTGTTTTAAGAATTATTCTCATCCACGGTTCTGTAATTTTTGTAGCATGTTAAGTTTTTTAAGGTTAAATAAACATAAAATTGATGAGCAATAGTCAAAATGAGGTTGAATAATTGTGTTTGTTATATGCTGTTATTTTTGTTTCCATTGATAAATTTTGAGATATTCTACTCAGAAAGTAAAGTTTCTTTGATATATTTTTTTATGAACGTACTCGAAGTGACTCTCAAAATTCAGAATATTGTCAAGCTGGAATCCCAAAATATTTAACTGTTGTGACAATTTCAATTTTTTCATTATTAATATTTAAAATTATGATTTCAGAATCAAGCAAGCTATATTTATGGTTGGTAGTGAAAACCATTGCCTTTGTTTTTTTCACATTCATCTTCAGTTTATTCATTTTTAAATATATATTAACCATATCTAAAATAGTGTTCATTTTTTGAATAACTACATAAAAATTTTCATCACTAGAACAGATTAGAGTATCATCGGCAAAAAGATTAATAAATTCACAAATTACAAAAATATCGATATCGTTAATATACAGAATAAATAAAAGGGGGCCTAATACACTACCTTGAGAAATCCCTGTATTACTATCCATTTCAGATGACAATTGGTCTTTAAATCGAACTTTCTGTTTGCGATCTTGTAAATAATTTTCTAACCACGCAATTACTGTACCTCCTATACCATATTAAGTTTAGAAATCATTATTGTCCTGTCAATGGTTTCAAAAGCTCTTTTTAAATCAAGAAATGCAGCGACTACGTACTTATTTTTATCTAAATTACTCTTTATGTGACATAATGTAACTTGTAACGCTGATTCACAAGAGAATTGTTTTTGAAAACCTGATTGATTATTAATTAAAATTTTATTTTTTGTTACATGTTCTAATAATTGTTCATAAACAGCAATTTAATGAAACAAAAAATGAAGGACGCCCTTTGAAAAATAAGGCGAATCACAACAGGCGACAAATGCTCCTGGAGTGGATAATAAGAAGGAGAGCACTCGTTTATCTAGAGCATACTTATGACTATTAAAATTGGTTGAATTTATTTCTGTATTTGCATTTTGCTAAAAAAAATTTTAGTCTCATTAACCCTTAAGTACCATGGCGGGGTCAAAATTGACCCCCAGCCTTTTTAATGCCAAGTTTCGCTACCGAAACATAGATTCAGCATTGCGCGCTTTCTGCTAATCTTCGACCGGTAGGTGATTTATCGAACTACGAAACTTCCGTTAGTTTATCTGTTACTAGTGCAGATTTAGGCACGCAAAGGGTCAATTTTGACGCGCTTATGGTATAAGTGTTTCTAGTGCAATTAACGAGTAATTTTAAATGGCGGGGTGTAGTCCCTCTGACACAGAAAGAACTTGAAGAGGAGGAGGCAGGCTAGTGAACACAGTGATCACGAAACAGACAGTGAAGAGGAATGGGACGATGATGACGAAAAAAATTGGCAAATTAATAACTCCGAAACTGGTAGTGAATATTCGGGTGAAGAAAGTGATATAGCTGACTCAAGGGATGTGTTTTATGGCCAAAATAGGTACAAGTGGTCTAAAACTTCTCCCGCCTTTTCTCGTACACGTAAGCATAATTTAATTAGTCATTTACCTGGTGTTATTGGAAAAGCTCGAGCTAGTATGCCAGAGAAACCAGTTGATGCTTGGGAATGTATTATTAGCCACGATATATTGCAAGAAATTCTTGAGAAAACCAATGAACGAATAACTAATATGGCTTCTAAATATAATTTACACAATTTATCGTGTCAATATATCAATCATCTTGACATAATTGAATTAAAGGTCTTCTTAGTCTTATTATATTTAGCTGGGGTATTTAAATCCAATAATGAAGATTTAAGGTCTTTATTTGCTACGAATGGTACTGGCCGTGATATATTTCGAGCAACCATGTCACTAAACCGATTTTATTTTTTGCTTGGAAGCCTTTGTTTTGACGACCCAGCTACTAGACTAGAACGTATTGCGCACGGAGATAAACTGCTTACAATTAATTGCCAGTCCAATTATAGCTGTGGTGAATATCTCACAATAGATGAAATGCTTATTGCATTTAGAGGAAGGTGCCAATTCAGGATGTATCTCAAAAATAAGCCAGACAAATACGGTCTGAAAATGCAGTGTTTAGTAGACTCTAAGACACATTATTTGCTAAATGGTTTTATATATACTGGAAAAGATACACGCAGAGCAAATCCAAAAAAGTTATCCATCTCCACTCTAGATGTTTTGACACTTATTCTACCAATTTCTGGTACAAATAGAAACATAACAGCAGATAATTGGTTTTCGTCCATTGAGCTCATAAAAGAACTGAGAAGCCATAAAATTTCATATGTTGGAACTCTAAAAAGAAATAAAAGAGAGGTTCCTGCTGAATTTCAACCCCAAAAAAACAGACCACCTAATTCTGCCTTATTTGGTTTTACAGGAAGCGAGAGCCTTGTATCTTTTGTTCCTAAGAAAAATCGTGCAGTGTTGTTAGTGTCAACTATGCATCATTCCAATACAATGGTTAATGGAAAGCCAGAGATTATTAATTTTTACAACGAGACAAAAGGTGGGGTGGATTCATTGGATAAGAAATGTGCATGCTATAAAACTGGCAGAAGAACTCGTAGATGGCCTCAAGTAATATGGTTTCGCATTTTGGACATTGCAGGATTAAATGCTAACGTAATTTATAATGGAGTTCAGCAAAATCAAATAATGGAAAGAAGATTGTTTCTAACCACTTTAGGTCAAGAACTCATTAAGACCCATTTAACTCGTAGAGCTCAGCAAATTTGTTTACCGAGAGAAATTCGCAGTGCCATTTTTAAAGTTTCCGGACTTCAGGAACCAATGCCTGCCGCAAATCCAGAGCCACAATGACGAAAAAAGAGGGGAAGGTGAAAAATATGTCCATATTCCAAAAACCAAAAGAAAGAAAGCTCATCGTGAGATAAATGTCGAGATTTTATTTGCAAAAATCATTCCCGCATACAGACGTTATGCATAAGCTGTGTTGAAAATTAAGGTAAAATCATGCTTGTCATTTTTGAGATACGAAATCTAAATCGATTTTTTTTATTTTAGGTAGGAGCTATGATACCTAGATTTCACCATTGGATATAAAAAAACTGCATATTGTTATTATTTTTCTTATAATTCGAGAAAGTGCATAGCTACGTTAATTTGACTGAATACAAAAGTTTTTTTTAAATAAAGTTATATCTAATTAACCAAATTCATTTATTTTTATATAAATGTAAAAGTAGCTGTAAACAAAATAATTTAAAATAAAACAAGTTAAAAAAAGAATATTTTTTGATACAAAAAACAATGGGGGTCAAATTTGACCCTGCCATGGTACAAATGTTACTATTTTTGGCCATTGTAGTTAAGGGTTAAAGAAGTCTTCCACTACTTTTGTGAATTATACTACAAAATATTAATAGCATAGAAAAAATATTATCCTTGTTGGGACAAGATAAAAGCCATATTTTCGTGATTTAGTTAATATTTTATTTAAAATTGGAGCAGCAAATAATGAATTGAATATTACATTTACAATTCTCCTCTGTTTTAAATTTATCAGTAGATCTAAACAAATTATCAAAATACTTAGAACTAGTTCAAAATACAAAAACGATATTGTGAAATATTAAATTGTGATGAAATAAGAATCATGATAATAATTGGCAAAGTTATAACAACTTTTTAAATAATGTTAAAAATATTTAAGTTGCATTTAATGTAATCATTTCTTGTAATAATACTTTCATTGTTAATAATAAAAATTGCTAACTTTGTATGTACATAATTAAGATTTAAATCTAATAATAAACATGAAAATATATTTATATTTATATTTTTCCTAGAAATTATTATTAAATTAACAATGACAAATCCCCACTTCAAGAGATCAGATGGAACGGAAATGGGATTCTCCTTTCAGGCAAACACATTTGCTTGTATAGTGGTTCTTAGTAAACCATTTGTTAT